AAATACATGCAGCTGATCCATCTGTCAACAGAGGGGGGCATCTGAGCGACGCATTGCTGAGGTTGACCAGAACATATGTGCCATTGCTTGGGTAGGTGTTGCATGTTGCATGCTTCAGAGTTAAAATTTCAGATTGTGCTGTTGTGCCGGTGCTGACACGTGTGACATGATGGCAGTGCATGAAGCAAAGTGCAGCTCACCGGCCTTTAACAGCGCACCTGAAAGGGTTGGCACAGCAGCGCGTGTAGACTCTCCACCTTCCCGCTGACAAAGCAGCTGCGCACAATACCTACTAACATGCCCGCGCTGAGTGCTGCCAGCCCCATATTATGGGCATTTTCCAGGCGCAGGACCGCTTTGCGCATTGTACCACCTGCAAGCATTGGTGCAACCATACAAGTGGATCAATGCTTGCAAGGAGTCAAAGCAGATTGGATAGTGCATGCATCTTGCATCGACGCAAGTGCATTGCACAACCCCCTCTCTTTGCGCGATCAGAAATTTGACAGTTGCCCATGCTTCGTTGCACCGCTATGATTTGAAAGTATACGAGGTGATACATACAACTTGCATGTGTGTGCAAGCCCGCATTGCACAAAAGTGCAGACACCGGCTAGTTCGCCGTGCAACGATGACCTCAGGCAGCCGTGCTGCATACAGTGCAAAGACAAGGCCATAAACACTGCACACATGCACGAGAGGGTGCTAGTCAATCCCAATACGTGGTTCAACAAATGGGGGGGAGCTGTCTATCAGTCCAGAATGGAGATGGGTGAACCTGAAACCACAACCAGATTGCCAGGCCTCGAGCAACATGGTAGAGGACAGCATGTCCTCACCCATGATAGCTTGCAACACATGCGGCGTTTGGCTGCGCAATCTTATTGACTGTGGCGCTTTTCTGCATGTGGGACCACAGGTCTCTAAGCGCATCTTTGTCATTCGATGCGTTTGGCGAGTGGCATGGGTGCTCATTAAGTATGGGTGTCTCACATGCACCACTCGATTTGAGCGTGGATTGCCATCAGGTGGCCCGAAGCCACACTGAGGTTCTTCACTCATACGGCAGACTGATTCAAATGGCCTACCTGATGGCCTGCGCCTGGTGTATGATGACATGAAATAGCCAGGTCTGCACCGCAAACTGTCATCAATCGTTATCATTCGTGACAACTCGAACACATGCCTGGATGCGTGCCAAACCATCCAATGCACGGAGATCACATGTTTTCTCCATGGGGTCAACACTACATTAATGAAAGTGAAGGATAGAGGAGCTGCCACATGGTTATCCTGAGCATTGACCTTTTTATTGATGCCCCGTGTGGTGACGGTGATCAGGCGTACAGAAAACGCACATGTGCCAGTTACATAACTTGCACATCAACAAAACCGATGTACTTCAAGGTATGTAAGGAAGAGTCAGTTACTGTCCAGCGCGCTTTAAGACTTGTGAGCACTGAAATGATGCAGTTGCTGTTGCATCGATACGAATCCGTAGTTGGTGATGACTCACCTTTGGCGGTTGCTTCTTCAGGTGTGCTACCCGGCTCATCGGCTGGGGCAGTGGGTGGGGCTAAGAACAGAAGCGCTACCTCGACAAACGCCAGATAGCCGAGGACAGATGTCATCCCTGCAATCTGATGCAAGGAGTGGCAGGAGGTAAGCGATACGTCTGTCATTGCTGTGAAGACTTGGGGGGAATCAGCTGAGCTCAGTGCTCACCCCCTAAGCAAGTCGAAGTACACTGGAAAGCAGGAGTTCCAAGAATGCATGTAATGATGACTGCAATGAAGCAATCCGCTGTTCCTGCTTGCTGCCAAGAGTACAATGACTACTTCTATATGGTTTCATGCATCTCTGTTGCCTGTTTGCTGAGGAGAGCAGCCTCATAGCGTGATGAGAGCAGCCTCATAGCGATGCCATACTGTCATGTGATGAGAATAAGTGACCAGGACCAGGGTCACCTGTCCTATGGGGCAGGCTGCCTTGTCTCGGTGAAACGCGATATCACAAATGGCATCGCCACAGCGATCGTCCAACACACTGTGCAAGATGACATTGAGGCGTCAGGATAACCTTTGAAGTAATTGAGCTCTGTCATTGGATCCATCACACGAGAAAACTTCGACGCTCACTTCCTGACATTGTCAACGGTGTCCAGCGAGCAATCCTTACAACGAGCGAGCACCAGTTTGGACTTCATCAATACAAGGATTCTCAAGCCAAAACTCAAAACACATCAAGTTATCTTCAAGTACTGGAGCCGCCGCGTTGATGTCAATAAAACATGATCACTGATGATGTGAATGCATACCTTCAACGACAGCTTGCAATAGGTATCTTTGCCTGGTTTAGAACATACAAAACGCTCAACGTATCACGCACCTGAACTGCCGTGAGAGGCGCAAATGGATCCACGCCAAACCGCTCAATTGCAGGGCCCAGCGTCCGTTGCTCCATGCGCGCCCAGTTCTTGGCGTTGAACAGCGGCGATGCAGCAAACGCCGTGGTCACCTTTGCCAACATCCTCCCCAGCCTGGCATAGGCAGGTGTTTGATATGGTGCCCTGGAAGTGCCCAATGCCACCGTGAGCGCCAGCAACGCCAGCTGTGCAGGACCACACAGACCCACCGCAAAGGGTACACACAAACTATATGAGGCATGCCCCGCTGGTTGCCATACGTAACTCAACGCTTGCCCGTACAGAATCAGGCACAGGGTAGAACAGAAATACGAGATGTCCGTCGTCATGTGACGTGCGAGGCGACAGTGAAACGTCCGCTTGTGCCTTGACTGTTGTAAGACCCTTAGTTGACAGCAGACGCTCCGGTGTCCTGCAAGCGATGGCATAGCTGCTCACAATGCTGAAACCATAATCACACTTGAGTGACTACCCAGCAGCATACCAGCGCCAGTCTCTTACGTGCTGTTGTAAGCCCAACAGAGGCACGAGGGGGGGCGAGGTCATGCGGCCTTGAAGATTTATTCCTCTGCCAGAAAAACATTCGTTCAAGTACGACCAAATCCAGCAGTAGGCATAAGCATACCTGCACTGGTGCCAAAGTGACCGCTGTGGGGTTATGCAGGCACCTGCCGACTGTGACCGCCACTGCAGCTGCCGCCATAACAGCATAGTGCAGCCCTTGCCGCCCCTCCACTAAGCTCATGCTGCTGTGCGTTGCTGCGAGGCGTGCAAGACTGAGATCGGCAATTATTGAGAACCAGCTGATCACCCAGTCACCACAGCAAGCCAGCTCCTTTTCAAAGCTCGAGCGCGATCTTCAAGAGAAACTTCAAGCCGGTATTGAAGTTGCCGGAGTCGCCCGTTAACGGTCCTCCAGGGCCCTAGGGGTTGTACAACTGTTCTGTTATTCTATCTCAAAGCGACCTTTTTGTTGTCAAGTCGACCAACTTGGTGCCATAATGATCACGTGCAGTGTGATTGTCTGCAGTGAGCTGTGTACGCCTACCGATGTGCTGGTGTGCATGCTGAAGGCAGCCTGCTCCTCCGCGTCCCAGACAATGCTGCAGTTATCCATGAGCACGCCTTAGTGGCAGAACGAGCCAATGAGCTTGCCGTCATCAAGTCAAGGATGCTGCCAGCGCTGATGTGCGTATAGAGCTGGGTCATGAACCTTGGCACTCTCGTCCTGCGCCCCAAACATGGCCGACACAGTGAATCAATGCTGACAATGTACGTGCCCTTGCGCCTTGTACTGAAGCCTTGCAGGTATTACATTGCTCAGGCCGTTTGCAAGCGCAAATGTGTCCGAGAGAGTGCCAAATAGCCCAGGCAACCGTCACAATGGTGCCACCAGCAGCGTTCTGCCTGTGCCTGTTGGCAGCCCGGCATCGCGCAGTTTAACTGCGTACCGCCCGTCCTTGCATGCTGCGAGTTTACGGGGTGAAATGACCATCGACCCACAGCGCTGCCCGCTTTGGGCCAATGGTCTTGGGGCGTAAAGGAACGTTGTCGCATGAGGTTGTGTTGTGAATGCGTCATGAGCTGCGCCATGGAGTGCGGGTGTGCTGCAGCGCCGTTGATGTCGTGCGCACAGGTGAGCACCATCACACATGGAGTGCCGTCTGCTCCACAAAGCCGTTTGGAAGCAGCACCTTGCGCTGCTCGCCACACATACGCCCCAAGGCTCGCACAACAATGGTGATTGAGATGGCATTGTTGACAGCGAGCGTGAAGTGGGTACAGGTTGCCGCGGACGTTGGCGCATGTCCTGGCGGTAGCACTACACAACGAGCATCAACTCAAAGCGCCGTCGCGCAAATGCGCTCCAGCACCTGCCCGATGGTCTGCTGCAGCAGAAGACGCAGCTTCTCGGGGAGGCGTATGTTGTTTGCCTGACACATATGCCTGGTCCGTGACTATCACCCAGGCCAGCCCCCAGGCTGTTTGAACCTGTGCAGGATTGAAGTGTGTTGGAAGAAGCAGAAGCTGACTCAGAGGGAACGGCAAAGGGTGGTGTTCCTTGCCGATGAGCTAACCATATCGTACAGAGCTGAACATGCAGGTAACGTAGATGCCTGAGTGACATGGACGACAGAAGGTTGGGGGGTTGAGGCGTCTGCGCTGGCAAGGGCCCGCTGCTGCTCTTTGACTACAAAGTGGGCAAAGGTGGCATGCCAAATTCAATTCCGCTCAAAATGAAAAAAACACACACAATATTTACACACCAAGTTCACATGTGCACAACGATGTATTGGAGCAGTACAGTATGGATGTAGAGTTATGGTATGGTATGGCACGGTACTCAGGAGCAGGCTGGGTTGAGCACCATCAGATGACAGTGCTCAGTTGATTCATACGCATCACAGGTCTCAGTGCTTGACGAAGGTGTACTTTGAAGTACATGCCTTGAAGGTAACTGCCAGGTAGACATGCGAGGAAGTCAACAAACGCACACATACCATGGCAGTAGTAGCTGTTGCAGCGACAATGCTGTTATGGGTTACAGTAAGGGCCCTGTAAGGCATAAGGTAGCTCACACCGACAGGAATTGAACCTGCGTCTCCAGGGTATGTGTTGCCCTGGTGTGCTACCATTGCACCACGGTGTGTAAAAAGAATGTGATGATGATGCAAGCCAACTACAACTACACGCGCATGGCAACATTGTCATGGCATTTGCAATGTATTTACAAATACTTGTGTTACTCGAATTCCAGACTTTGTTGATTTGGAATGTAACAAGGCCTCTCTTGGTGGACCTGAACCGGTAAGGCTCAGTGCCAAGCCCCCGCACCACGACAAGGTGGAGGCCGCATTCGCGGGGGAACTACCTACACAAGCAACGCCGTAAAGCAGCACGCCAAGCAACAACAAGCCTGCGCAACATTGAATCCCAGCACAATCTGCACGACTTGTGTCAGCGTCTTTGGTCACAAGGCGAACAAATTGGTCTAAGATTCAATGTACGCAGCCTTACTGCTGCTTGACGCACATCAGCCAGACAGAGAATGCTGCTGAACACAGGCACGGCCTAGGAAGACAGAGGGCGGCAATCCCCCTCTCTTCCAGAGGAGGGTACCCATCAGCGGCTGGGTACCCTCCCGCGGATCAACCGACCCTCTCATTGCTGCTTAGAGTGCCGACCGTGACTTGAAGGGCGGTCGCCGTGGACTGATATGTCAGCACGAACAGCACCACAATCAGCCCTGCTGCGCTGCTGCGACAGCAGGGCCTCCCAGGCAGCCAACAAGTGGTTGACTTCATTGCGCCTGGTTTCCTGTATTCAACAGCAGCTCTTGTCTGGCCTTTACCTGTTGTCTCGTGGTGCCGTCGGCCGTATGCCTGGGCCAAAGCGCCGCGCACATTCAAGTGGAAGGTGCGATGACGAAGTGGTCACCTCCAGGCACGCGCCCGCCACAGACCAAGCGCTCCTACGCCACCAGGGACGGCCTGGGCAGAGCAGTAAGTGACTGCTGTGGATCTGCCCCAAGGAAAGCCAATTTTATGCCTCCCTGCAATCAGGCTGCCTTCTGATTGCCAGCCGCCAGCAATGTGTGCCGTTGCTGTGCAGCGCCACCCTGGCACACATTGACTGCCGTCAGCCTTGTTGCAGCACGCAGCATGCATCTTGGCTCCTGGTTGGCGTAGGCACTGCGAGCGAGCAAAAGGCGACGGTTATCGAGAAGGGTACGGTAGGTATAGTCATCATTGAAGTTAGCATTGAAGTTCAGTGTGTAAGGGGTTGCATGCCCCCCACCTGAAACTCTTTCTTCAAGATCTGATGCGATGAGGCTTCAAACAACGCCATGCTGCCAGGGTTCAAGAATGAAGAGTACAACAAACTATGAATTCACTACAGCCTCACGCTTGTCTTTGCAGCGCCCACAGCAACAATCAACACGAGGCACGTGCTGCCGGCTGTACACAAATGCTGGTAGCAAACTGGATATCCACCATCTGGGCTTTTTCGCGCCCTGAGCAAGAATTTGAAAATGACAAGTACACAAATGTCGGGGTTCGGGTGGGGTTTGTTGGGGTTGGGTTGGACTCTTCGTAGCAACAGCATTGATACCCTTAGCACCAGTGCCTGGTGCCCAGTGATCATTTTGCCTAGAGGCGTGCTTCAGACGTGTCAGCATGGTCCTCAGTTCTGGGCGCTGTCAAAGGCGACCCAGGCCTGCATAAATCTTTTTCAAGACGGGACAAGTGTGCCTCACGGCTTGGCAACCCTAAGTAGGGTTTGGTTGTGGGGTGTTGGTGGTAGTGTGAAGAGGGGGAAGCCTGTTTGCGTTTGAGTCTCTCTTCGGAGAAGGAATGTTGCATTGAGTGCACATCCAAAGAGAGGGCTTTTCGCGCCCCTTGCGAAGTGAAATCAATAAAAGTACACAAATGTCAGGACAGAAGAACTGTCGGAAAGGCTACTGGCTACCCGCCAGAATGCAGTATGCACAAGCTTTCAACTCTTTTCAGCGCAAGCATCATCAGTAGCCAAATACAGACAACACGGATGCTGCTAAAATCAGACTCGACATGACTCAGACTTGAGTGCGCGCACCATCAGCAACATTTGTGCAACATCAGCAGCAACGTTTAACATGAGCAGCACATGCACTGCGCATGTACATAAAAGTGTTGTATTTGCCTGATAATCACAGTGGCGGCGGTTATCGAGAAGGGTACGGTAGGTATAGTAGTCATATTGAAAGTTAGCGTTGAAGTTGGAGTCATGGGGGGATTATTCCCCACCTTGAAGGCTCATTCTTTGAGATCTCATGCTACATATGTGGTTCAAAAACGCCATACTCCCAAGGCAAAAGAACACAAGTCACGCACCAGTCAATTCATTACAGCATCGTGCGCCTGCTGCAGTGCCCTTGCACCCCCCCCACGACTTCATCATAGGCAAATCAGAAGAACGCCGCTTAATTCGATGACGCTGCAGACAGTGTTGCCTTGTGCTATGCCGATTTGATACAAGCTTTCTGTTTTCTGTGCTAGTTCAGTACAGAGCACCAGGGGAGTCGTTCTAGAACCGGACCATTCCTGGGACCGTTCTTCAACTTCAAGTCCTGGCCACTTGAGGACAAGGCCCTTTTGCTCACTCTTGGTTCTGGCCCTGGGCAAGAGAGATATCCTGTTGGGAGACAGCAAGCCTTTCTGGAGCTGAGCCATTCAAGTGGCCGTCAGTCCATGTCCACAGAGGTGTGTCTCATTTCTCTTGCTTTGCTAATGTTTGTCCAGCAAGTTGGCTGCAACTTGGTCTCGCCAGCACACTACAGCCCATCTGCCTTTGGCAGCATGGAAGCCAGGCCGTTTGCTGTATCAGATGGCTCAGCTCCAGCTTGCTATCGACAACGTTAGCACCAGAACAAGCTAGAACTCGCCAACTAGTCTCTCCGCAACCGTGCAGCTAGGCACGAAGGGTATTCCGAAGTGCAGCGTCCGCGAATACGTTGTCGCGATGGCAGCATCAAGGAAGCCATAGGGATGCTGAGGTATAACCTGATGCGTCAGGATCCATCAGTTGCTATTATGTCATGGCAAGTCGTGTTTCCCTGCACACGACGACGCAGTTAGCAACGAAAAACTAGACTCGCGCTCCCTTGAAGCACAACAGCCGCCGAGCATAAAACCAAGATGCTGCAGCTGCTTGTAGAATTCCGTGAGCATAGACGTGCGACTATGCAAACAGCGGTTTTCGATCAGTCGGTGTGAGCACCACCGGCTGAAGTGCACTTGATTCCTGGCACAAAATCGCACACAGCGTGAAACTCAAATGCTGCGGGACTGATCACCCCGAAGCATCGAGTTAACAATGTGGAGTTGTTATACGCTGTCTGGACTAGACCTCGTGGATCCTCCAGCACTTTTAAGTGGAGGGGGGATGACTTCTGCATAACCTTTGAGCAGAACTGCATAACCTTTGAGCAGACCGCGCTGCCTAGAGCGAAAATCTTGAGTGCTCCAGTACGCCGCCAACGCGCATGTTTTGAGCGTTTGCCCGCTTGCCACAAAGTGCGCGCTGTGGCGAGTTGCTGCCCTGTTCTCGTGCTTCAGGGAGACGCTGCAAACCGCGCTGGTAACGCCGGGCAGCCTGCGGCCGGCGAAGCGGCCTAAGGGGAAACTGGAGTTGCGGGAGCTAGTGGTAAAAGTGGGAGCAGTAGTGCGTGTACCCAGGCGCAGCCCTGCTCTGCGCAGCCTGTGTCAGCACCTCCAGCTGTACAGGCCGGTATGTCGGTCGTGGTCACCTCGATCGTCTCGCTCGCGACGTCTACCACCCCCGCCTGCTGTAACTGCCGCCGCTGCTGGTACCCCCGTGACGCTGGGAAACCTGCCGGCTGCAACGTCCGCTGCGACTGTGCCGACGCCCAGTGCTGGGTCTGTGCAGCTTGACAACATTGTCAGGGACTCCGGAACTCTGGAACGCCTCCCGGGCGTTGATGACGCGGCTGTGCGCCATGCCGCGGAGAGCATGCGCGCCACCATGAGCCACGCCCCCGCTCCTTTCTTCAACCCGTCGAGCTTCTCTAATACTATTTCCGCCGTTGCACCTAGCAAACTCGACCCTTCCAATGAACCGCGAGAGCACTGAGAACGCTGCGAGCGACATTGACGCAGAGATCGAGCGCAACTTGGCGCTGGCCTCCGCCGCTCGCGACGAAGCTCACCGCGGTGTCCAAGCCCTTCGTCATCGAAACAGCGCCGGCGCTCTTTGCCGACGCTGCCCAGCACGCGCGCCACAAGCTCTTTGGCGCCCAGCAACTGCCCCCAGCGCTCAGCAACTGCCCCCAGCGCTCAGCAGCTGCCCCCAGCGCTCAGCAGCTACCAGTACACCCTAGCGCTCAGCAGCAGTACCCCCGAGCGCGGGCGCCTACCCCTTCGCGCCACCACCCAGCTACACTCAGCTACACCAGCGGCTGACTGTCGGCGCAGGCGATATTCTCGACCCCGCGCGCGCGCCTCCGATTACTACGGCGCTGCGCCCCGAGGAGCTCGCAGTCTTCAAGCACAACCCTAAGTCGGCTGCAGAGCTCGCCAGCTACGCCCTCGCCGGCATCACCGGCGGCACTGCTATCGCAACTGGCTCCAGCGGCGCCAGCCCGACCGGCGGCGCTGCCAAGTCTGCCGCGATGTCTGCCGCCAAGACCCCCCAGAGGCAGCCTGACAAGTCAGCCGGCCCGGGCAAGCCCCAGAAGCTGCCACAAGCATTTCCTCAGCGACGGCAAGCTGCACGAGCACCAGGTGCAGCGCGCCCCTTGGTACGACCAGCGCATCGAGAAGCTGAAGAAGGAGAAGCGGCCCCGTGACCAGCTTGAAACCAGACGTGACGAGCTCTGCGCCCAAAAGCGCAACCGGACGAGTGAGTCACCTGGAATCACTTCTCGTGTCTTGCCTAGTGTACCCGTGGATGTTGACGCGCCAGAGCCGCTTGGGCTAGTCAAACATCTCATTAGCTCCACGCAAGACATGTTTGAAGTACCAGCTGCGCAGCCAGTGGCCGTTAAGGCCAGCGCACCGGTCACATGCGTGCTTGACAAGACAGTTGGCATTTACATGCTAGCCTCGGTCTTGTACGCGCATAGTGAATCAGCAGTGGTCAGTTATCTGG